GCATTCCTGGAAGGGGTGGGAGAGGAGTTTAGAAAGCACCTTCACCCCAAAAGCCAGTTGTACTTTCTATGTCTGAAGTTGTATCAAAACCCACATGAAAAAGAAAGTGAATAACCACAGGGTTCTCCCGGCAACAGCTCCCCAGCCAGCTGGTTCCACCAAAAGGGGGATGTTCTCTGTTTCTGCGGTAGCACGGGTGGCAAGGCCACCTCAGGGGCACGTGAAAGCAATGGGGCAGACTGGTAGCAGATGCAAGTCCCTATTACTACACCCAACGATGCAATCTAGGTGTTTGAATCGAGGTGTTTGCACCGTACCGGTGTAAGACACCGATGCGAGGTGCCAGCGTGCATCTACAAGACTTGAGCCTGCTACGTGTGGAGCAAAGCCTGAACCTTCCCCACAAGATGCAGAGTCAAATCCCAAGAGGAAAGCACGGAGGTTCGTGGGCTCAGCCACTGCTCACGCACGCACGAACTGCAGCAATCGGAAACGGTTCAGTGATCCATGCTCAAATGCTTCGGTGCTGGCTCACGGCACGCGTCCATCAGGCCCATCGGCATGAAAAGGCTGAGAAGAGCACAACTGTGGAGTGGCAGCTGGGAGAAGCAGCAGCTGACCCGGCTCACTCGGCCTCCCAAGGGAGGGGGCTCATCCACCCTCGTGGATCCCTCTTTAAAATCCCTGTATCCCAAACAGAGTTAGTGCAAGCTCAGCATTCTGGAAACCCATGTGAATTATCAACTCCACAAACCCACACGGCTCACCTCTAGGCAAACAGCTCACTCATCATTAGCTGGGGAGGGCCACCTCTCTGCCCTGCTGGTCACTGACCTTTGGCTTCAGGCCTTGACACCAAAATCCAAACAGAAAATTAGAGAATATTCCAGCCCACACAGCCCTGACAGCACCTCACTTTGCTTCTGATCTCTTGAACTTTCTCTGAGCTTCCCCCTACCCCACCTGCTTCCTCCAGTGGGTCTCACGATCCAGAGATGTGTCACCCACGCCTTTGGCTAATCCCCCAGTGTTTATTCTTGCTCCACAACACCTTCTTATGTCCTAACTCAATCTGAGAAATAAACATTCCCTGTAACAACACAGAGATGGGCCAAGTGCCGGGCACCAGGACGGCTGACAGGTACCGCGACATGTAGGCAGCCCACGGTGCAGGAAGTTCTGGGCGGTCACTGAAGAAGGGAGGACATCACAGTGAAAAGTGCACCTTCCTCCGGGGACAGGATCCTTTCCGGGTCCCCTGGGGGATGCAGCTCACTTGGGAGTTTGTCTTTTGCATCCCTGCTGGGGCTCTGGACTTGGGTGTGAACTCGTCTTCCTGCTCAGTCCCGAAGACATCCTGCGCCCTCCGGGGTAGCCCCAGGGGGGAGTGTTTGATCTGAGGAGAGAGAAGAGCTTTCAGCGGATGGGCACGGGGCTGGGGAAGGGGCAGGAGGTAACATAGGACCTGGCAGCCCCTATGGCTGAGCCCCGTGTTGCTGCTTGAAGGGTCACCCCCCCTGCAGCTGCAAGCCGTGCCTGCCCGCGTCCTCCTCTATGGCTGGTGGTGCAAAGGGACGTTTATCCTGGCTGGACACCTCCAGCCATGCCAATTTATGCCTGAGATTTTCCTCATCTGATCCTTTGAGGGGACCAGAGCCACCTTCCCTCTCCCTCCAACGTTCCTTGGCTCAGGGATTCAGTGGCCTGTCCTTCCTCTCCCTTCAAAAACTTTTCTCAGCTACGACTCTGCTTCCCACAGAGCATTTACTTGAGACTGGAGGTGGACAGGATTTGATGTGTGGCTGCCCCACCTCAAGTAGCTCAAGAGCACACACCAAAACTGACGATGTTAATGAGGAGGCTACAGCTTTGCTTGGTGCAATCCCACTCCCCAAGCCACCCCGTGGTAAATCCAGGCCTCTTGGCTCTACCTGCTGCAGCACGTCTTTGGAGGGCTGTCGTTTCTGCTGTCCGTGTGGGACCAGCAAGGCCTGCATGGTTGAGACAGAACTTTCATCTACCGACAGATGGAATTGAAGTAAAAAGTAAATTCAAGTCAGTAAATTAGGAAGCGACAAGAAAAGCTTTGCAGTTTGACCTGCAGTCACAGATCTGTGCGCGTTTCCATTAACGAGAGGAAAAGACGGGCTTTGCCGTCAGCACTTTGCTGAAAACCTTTGCCCAGACAGAAAATGATTCTCAGGGTGAAGAGGTAAATGAAGAAATTCACATGGCAGTTACAGGAATATCACTCCAGACGGTAGTTATGGAGCTGCTCCAGAAGTTTGAGGCCAAGGAAAAGATCAATTCAACTGTGATTTGTTCCACATTTGGTAAAACAAATGGCTAAAAAACAGATACATGGCATGAAGAGACCTCTCTCTCAGCTGCAGAGCACTGGCCATCAGAAACAGGAACCAGTGTCGGAGGAGGCTGTTCATGCCTCCCCTGACCAGCTCTAACCGCATCCCTTCCGGAGGATGCATAAGCAGCGTTTGATTGAAATCCTCTCCTTCCTCCCAAACACGAACCCAAAACAACTTCTAAAAACAAATGTAGCAAGGGGGAAAGATCGAGCCGCTGGTTTGTGTCTCAGAAATCATTCACGGCACCGAACACGCAAAACGTTGCTGTCCGATGGCAGCAAATGCCTCTGGCTGGCACAGGCCTCAAAGGGGCTGGTAATGAGATGGCACTTGGGGAAGTGAAAGTGCCCGAGATTAGCAGTCGCTGTGAGAACCAGCAGCAGCAGGCACGGGGCTGAGCACGGCTGTCCTGTCCTCATTTCACTAAAGACATTGCTGCTGCATCAGTGCCTTCCTGCCATCTCCAAGCCCAGATGTCCGGGCTGCCACCCTTCCCAGCGCATCATATGACACGAATGCATTGTATCTTTATCTAGATCATTAAAACTAAGTGATAAAATACACTGTTCAGCTGACTATAAACCTCAGTAGTGGTCTGTACACATTGCCTCTGAGTCACAGACTTACTCTACCTGGATTGTGTACTGGGAAGAGCTCTGATGTCGAGGTGGGGAGTCTGGTGCAGCCATCTCCCAGCTGCAGGTTCGTGCGGTGGATCTGGGAGGCAGCATGTTCCTTGTTATAGGTCCTGCAAGATACCAGACACCAGCTGCTGAAATAGCAATGTTCATCAGAAAGAGCAGCTCCTGGGGATGCCTGTCAGGCTCTCCTGCTCATACCTGTGTGTTCTCTTGTCTGGGGCTCTGAAGGCGTGTTTCTGCTCGCTCATCGATCCACTGATTCTGGCATCCCCAAATTTAATAGCAGACAGGCGCTGAAGGGAAGCCAACAGAGCTACGGAACAGAGGCTTAAAACATAATCCCTTCATTTCCCCTCTCTCTTTCCAGCCATCTGGTTTTCACTTGCACGGATCCCCCCCCTTTTGGGACACAATTTAACATGGGAACGTGCTGCCCTATAACTGTGTCTTGGTCCTGCCCAGAGTCGTGCCGTTACCTTTTTACTTGGCTTTGCAGGTGGACTCCATTGCCCTCTAAACTGCGCTTGATGAGAAGTCTCGTAATAGGACTGTCCATCTCCTTGAATAACGGGAACGCATCCTGCAAACAGCCAGAGGGGGAAATGGTGTTATTTCTAAAAATGCTGCTTACCAGTGTAAGGAAATATCAACGATATCGAAGCTGCTCTTTTTAGCGTTTTCGTGCTCCTGAATCAGATCCACACTTTGAAATGGCAAAACAATGGAAAACAAAATACAAGGGAAAGATTTGGTTTTCCATCATGTCTTGTAGCAAATGAGCAACATTGTGCTCTGTAATATAGAAGTATTTCCCACATGTCCCATTAACATTCACTCTCGCGATTACATGCAGACCACTCTTTTTCTTTCATTTGTTCCTTCTTTCACAAATCTATCGCGAAAGAAAGGGAAAAAGAACAAAACTAGTTCCCTGGAGAGCTTTCTGCTTGCCTGAAGAACGCAGGTACACACACCCGTATAGGCCAGGCTTATGGTTATTCACTAGTTTGCACGCAAAAATGGAATTTTCTGCCCAAATTGCAGCAGGGTGAGCTGCAACCCTGCAGAGCGTGGATGCAGTGCCTCGAAGTGCTGCAGCCGTGATGCGAGAACTGCTGCATCTGAGGATGCAACGAGCGAAGACGACGGCTGGAAAGGCTGCTCAGCACCCGCGTGGCTGGCGAGCGGCTCTAGGTAGTGCTAGTGACCCGTTTGATGGGCGCCAGATCGATTTGCTCAGCTATAAACAGAGAAAGCAAAATTCCAAATGGTTCTCATGGTTTTAACGCTGGCAGTGTGACTCTGAGCCATGGAACGCCCGGTGCCCGGGAAGGCTGCAGGGCATCGCGGGCTGCAGGGACGGTGTGTGGGGGACAGACCGGACCGTGCACCTGCTCACCCCGGCGCGGGTGCCACGTT